ATCAAAATAATGACCGATAATACCACGGCCCTTGCATATATTAACCACATGGGTGGCTGCCACTCTCACCATTGCAATAAAATTGCAAGGGAAATATGGGCGTGGGGAAGAATCAGTGACATATGGTCACTATGTATATATATCCCTGGGAAACTTAATGTGGTGGCTGACAAAGCTTCCAGAACATGTTATTATTCCAAAGAATGGAAGCTTGATGCTGAATTATTTCTTGAAATACCAGCATACTTTGGGACCCCAGAAGTTGACATGTTTGCTTTTAGACTAAACTATCCATTTAAGCCCTATGTCTCGTGGCACCCAGATCCACAGGCATGGGCTATTGACGCTTTTTGCATTGATTGGAGTAAATTGTTTCTTTATGCTTTTCCACCTTTTAGTGTTATATCACAAGTTTTACAAAAAGTAGAAAAGTAGCACAATTCTCATCGTGCCGAATTGGCCAACTCAATCCTGGTATCCGATGCTTGCAAGATTAATGATTCACCGAACCATTCTCCTACCCAGAAACAAAAGCAACGTGAGCTTGCCATCCAATCAAACAAAAGAACATCCACTTAAAGGGAGACTGAGACTGATAGCTTGTCTCTTATCCGGAGATCACTTTCAAGTAAGGGCATTTCACCACAAGCTCAACCAGCAATACTTAATTCCTGGCGGCCAGGAACACAAAAACAATATCGTGTGTATCTTAACAAGTGGCAACTCTATGTTAATAAACAGAATGAAGATCCCCTTCATCGAACTTTACAGGTAGTTCAAGACTTTCTACAGCAACTATTTGATCAAGGGATGAGTTACAGTTGCATAAACACTGCTCGAAGTATGTTATCTTCATTCGTTATTACTGAAGGGAATTCTACGATTGGTACACACCATATGTTTCAGAGATTTATGAAGGTAGTGTTCCATTCTAGACCAGCACTACCAAGATATCAAGTAATCTGGGAGACCTCCATTGTTTAAGAGTATTTAAAGACATATCCCGCACTAGAAGACTTAACTCCACAACAGCTAACTCATAAGTTGGTGATGCTCATATTTGTTACTATTTCTGGGTATGTTTGACACATCTGCAATTAAAATAAGTTATAACTTAATGTCGTATTTGCGTGTAGGCATGAAGTGTGTCCACATGACTTTCAAATCTCGTGGTATCTCTGCGGTAGATGCTAATAGAATTAGGAAATTGAACGAGATTACCTGAAGTTGAAGTTCGATTGGGATTTTATTAGCATCTACAGAGCAGAGATTACACGCCAACCCATCATGTTACTGCCTCCCTACGTATTGTTTATATGAACATTTAGGCCGTTCATGTGGCCACTATCTTTGAAATATGACCAATGTGCGCATGCGTAGTATCTCGTGTAATCTCTGCTCTGTAGATGCTAATAGAATCCCAATCGAAACTCAACTTTAGGTAAGTCTCGTTCAATTTTCTAATTCTACATGAAGTTTTGCGCTAAAAAATGGCGACAATTAAATTAAAGGAGTGGGGAATTTTGAAATTAAACAGCAAAATACTAAAACAATGCATCTTTTCAGAAGTACTAATAAAAAAGAATAAAAACAACAAGTGACTTTCTATGTATTTTGAAAATTTTGGGTCCTTTCTTGAGGTGTCCAACTAAACTAATTTTTAAAGCAAATTTTTGAGGCACAGATCACGGTGTAAACATCTTGCAAAGATCTTAGCTACTATATTATACTTAATCCTACACTGGATCTTTTTAGGATCTTAGGTAAGATTTTACCATAGGTTCTTACAAGATCCTGTATGATCATATGGAATCTTAATTAAAATCTTATAGGGTCTTTAGATCTTAAAATCTGTGTTAATTGTTTCTTTTATGAGAAGAATTCTTTTAAAGAAAAAATGTAAATTCTGAAAACAAAAAATCCCGTTTTCCGTCCATGATTTCCGATACGCTCGAGCGCATGGACAAATGAATTCTCTATTAAATTGTTACTAAGCATTCTATTTACTTCAAAGTCAGTGCTAGTAGATGTAGTGGGTCATTTCCATGACCATGAAGGTGGGCCATGACCTTGAAATATATCGACGGCGCATTTGCAGATGATAATCTAAAAATTTGTGATTGAGCAGGCTAATTACTCCATAATAAATACAAGTACATACAGTTGGTTGCTGCCATGATCATAAGCTTAGAGAGCTGGTGGGGTTGACTACGCATACTCAGAGTAATTCTCAATTAAATTGTGACCAAGCGAGCTCTCAAATCGGTGCTTGTAGATGCGCTGAGCAAAGTTTTCAATCATATATTTTTGACGCGCTCTTTATCTTCTTTCGCTTGTTTTGATAAATGCGTATATCAAACCGATCAACACTTCAAAAATTTTCTTTCTCTCTACAACTTTGTGTCTGCATATTTATTGCATGTCATATCCAAGCTTTCCTTTGATTTGAGAGAAAATGGTTTTTACTCACTGTTACACCTTCTGCCTTTATAATTAGTCGTTCTGGATATCTAAAATAAGATTTACGAATGCCCCAAGAGCATTTTCTTTCAATTTTATTGCCACTATTCTACAAATACAAATACCATGTTCGACCAATTGACGGTCCTAATTTTGTATATTGATCTCGTATTTTTTGAAAAATGTGCTTACTGTCGGAAAGGTGGATTAAGATCTTATTGGAACTTACTTTAGATCGTTTAAGAATCTCTGAGATGTTTAAGAATGTTGAATATTACCATGCGACAATCTTACATAAGATCCTGCAACGTCAAATTTCACAGAAGATCTTAAACAGAATTCTATTGAGAATCTTACATGCAATAACTTATGAAATCGTTTTTCGTGTCATTGTATTAACCATCATAAAACCTAAGTGTAATATCTATTAAACAATTGTTTCAATATATTGACTTAATTTAAAGCGTCTATTAATTTTGACTTGCCTTTGATACTACTGGCCCAAGCTTATCAAAAAATTTATAACTTATTATCGCATCAATCAAGCTCAATTTTTATCTTTCTTTCACAAGCCAACTGTTCATGTTTCTTTATTCCCTATTGCTGCCTTCTTAGTTCCAGAAAATATGCAACTTGTAGTACCTGCTCTAATTATAAGTAACCCCTTAATAACCGAATACAGGCGAGGTTTATACAAAAAGACAGAAGTTATTAAAAGGTTTATTATATGGCATTATTTGACCTGAAACTAAGCTTGCTTTCTTTCTCGTCCTTGCTGTTTTTTACTGGTTGGGTTTCACCTTAATAGTTTTCGTCCATAAAAAGTAAATCGTTTCAAATTGTATCGTCTGGATAGTCAAACTGTTCTCCAAGTGTTTTTCTTTCGAATCACATTCGTAAATGGTTTTTCGTTTCGTATATTTTGCGTTTTGCTGATTGCATTACGACGTTTTTTACATTTGATAGCTGAATTACGCGTTTTGGGCCATGGTCGATTACGGGAAAATAATGCACCGGCAAAATGTTTCGAAGCCAATCAAAGAGTGACATTTAGCCGGAAGTGACGCTTGCCATTTAATAAGTTCATGTTAATGCACGAGACTTGCATATTTATATTATGGACTTATTGCCACAAACAAATTCTACTTGATCAGATTACCTGCAACCAACATACAATTCACCTTTCCTACCCCATGCTAGGTCAACTATATGTTCTACAATAACGAAAGTTCATCGTTATAATCCAGTCTCTTTTCATGATGTTCGCCAAAAACCTAGAACTTTGAGATAAAGGGTTCGGGCTTGAGATAGATTTCGTGTATTTGTAGAACAACAGAACTTGTGCATTAATAAGGCTTCTTGATTCGTGAAACACCTCGAATGATTACATTTTAACACGTCGCTTTAGAGTGGATTGTCGAAATTATAGACATGTAGAATAATGACGACTATTGCACTGTCAGATGTGATTTGATTTCAAATTTTGCATTCTTCTCATTCTTACTAAACTGGCAAAAGAAATTTATTGTTAGGCCCGTTTTAAACGTCGCATTTTGCATACGCCGAATGCATTTAAAACAAAAGAAAATGAGATAAAATCCCTCATTATGTTTCGTATGAAATGCAGTCGGCTCATGTAAATTGTGACGTTTGAAACAGGCCTTACAACACTAGGTTTTTACTTCAATGACTTTATGGCACTTTATATATAGGCTGCAAGGCAAACTAACTTCATCAAAGAAACTGCTCTCTTCAGAAATAATTTTTCATTTATGACATATCTTTATTATTCGAGGGGAACACTGTAAAATCGCTCTTGTATATTTGAAATATGATTGAGTTCCTTTAAGGACAGTTGCCACAGATGAAATAGGACGACAAGTGGGACAATAAGATGAGTGGCCAATACAGAAAACGTTACTTTAACAACATTAGCGGTTTTGTATATATAATCTTTATAATGTGCAAATTGATCACCTGCCTTTGCATTTGAGAAGTACTAATTATAGAACAACTATGCTAAAATTGCATGGCAACTGCTGCCCAGATATAAAATAGAATACGAGGCTTAATCAAACAAATCGTTTTCTTCTCACTTACAGCACAGATGGAGACATGTTTAAGAGATCAGTGATTATAAGTAGTTGCTTTAAATGAGAACCGCGTAACAGGATCTTTATGACATGAGGAAAAATCACAGTCATTTTCAACGGCTGTCAGTTTTGGACTTTGCATTTAATTTGAAATTAGAATGTTTAACTCAAAGCTGCATCCCACAAGTTGAACATGTACTTGACGTATAAATAATGGAATGTGCGCTGCTTCATCCTTGTAAGTTTCCTTTGAAAGTCTGGAAATCTTGAAATTTAGAAGTAGAAAGTTTCAATTTTGCGCAATCGAAAAGATCATCTGATTCACTAAAGTTACACGATAACTGTAGTTCATCTTCCTATAAATGGCAAGTCCACCAATTCTGTAGGCTGCAGTACAGAATATTTTGAAACGATTGTTGATCTTCATTGAAACAGAAAGTACGACATTTACCTTCTTTTTCGGCAATTTCTCCAAAATTTCATCAGTTTTCTGTCCAAAAATCCATAGATAAAGGGATTGATAGCATGAGTTGTGACAATTCTAAGAAAGCGACTTATGTCAAAAAACACAGGCGATGCATGTGTCCTTTCTTGTTGAAGATACAAGGCAATGGCAATAGGAACATTTCCAATTGCGTAGAAGATCACTGTCATGATACAAACAACAAATATCTTACGATTTCGGCGATATCTTTGTCTGCTGAACGAAGCGGCGAATGCATTCTGATCATGAGATATTGGGAAAATGTTTTTTTCGTGGAAAAGAATTTGAGCTATTTTGCAATAAATGACCGCCATCATTAACGTAACGAAGAAGGAAAAACCAAAGATAAATACGCCCATAAGTATGTTCAGCCAAATTTGGTCCTCGATACCCAAACAGTATGGTAGGACTGTTGCGTAGCTTATAATGAACGATACAATGTACATCAAGGCACAAAGAACTTTCAACGTCCTTCGACTGACGGGGTTTTTAAAGGGATGTGCCGTTGCACGATAGCGTAAAGCTGAAATGGTAAGCATCGCTAAACATCCGGCTTCGGAAAACGAGACAGATAGTGCGAAAATGGGACAGTATACGGGATCATGCACAACTTCTATTTTATGTTGTAACTGGATCAAATAGACAAAGTGTAGAAACAGCCAAAAATCATCGCAAATGGCGAGATGTAAAATATAGAAGTAGTAGTTGCTTGTCAATAGACTTCGTCGTTGTAATATCGATATGATAACAAATGAGTTGCCAATGATACCCAATATGGCAATAGGCATCGTAAGTTTAATGACGATTGGATGGATATTCTGTTCCATGTTACGAACGTGGTGGTCTGTCCCCTGTGAAAGAAGTATTGATTGTTAAATTAGTTGTTTGGCATGCATTTGAATATGTGAAGCGCCGCTCTAAGATAAAATGAAAATCATTGCAAATGAGAAGGCAGGTGCATCATCAAGTTTACGAGAAAGGTTCTCATAAACCTGTAACATAACATTAAATTTTGTAAACGAAGCAAATAAAAGCGCCATGAACTTGATGCCATGAAAAAATGAAGAAAATATTTGCAAATTAGCCATTAGGCCATCGTTAACATTGTAAATGTAGGGCTTAAATGGTCATGTTAAACTGGAGAGTCTGCAAGGGTTATCAAGACAATTTGTGAGCAAGTCTTCCTCTGTATAGGATGAAAAGACATGTTAAATGGTGTGGTCAGTTTGAAAACCTTAAAATCTTTATGCATTGTAGACGAAAATATAAAAATCGGCGATAACATTTCGCATTTAAATGTGCACAGTAAAATGCAGAGACGTCTAAAACAATGACGTCAACAAAACAATCACACTTACCTTTGTTTTGATTTAAAAATTCGGGGGCGATTATCACCAGATAGGCAAAGAAACTTCCGATTCAAATTAATTTTTATAGTGATCGTATAAGAACAGTTGCCAGCAAAACCAATGAGAGAGACAATATGAAACGTTACTTTAACAATATTAATGGCTTTGTACATATAATCTTTATAATGTGCAAATTTTCCACCTGCTTTTGCTGTTCAAAAGCACTAATTATAGGGTCAATGTACTGAAATTACATGGAAATTCAGGTATTATGTAGGATATCAAGGTTTTTCATCAGATGAATTATTTTCATCACTGTTACAACGACTAAAGATTTTTGTCGTCAGTGTGGATAACTCTGTAAAATGAAATGGGATACTTTATGTGATTTAACGAAGAATGATCACACCTGTTTTCATTAATGGTATCTTATTCTAGCTTTTCGAAAATTAGATGAATATGATGCTTACTTAAAGATTAAAGGATGATCACGTGTGCTATGCTTAGAGAATAACTACGTTCGAGAAGGAACTAGGAAATACAATGCGCTTTCATGTATTCATTCATTGCCAATCTTTGAATATAATTTATTGGCATTTATGCAGTCAATTGCTTTATCAAACGTTTAAAGAAAGTCAGATTCCTTAAAGTGTGTTGTAGAGGAGAGACATAAAAAGACCTCTTCTAATTCTAAGGCAATACAAGTAACTTTTAAACACGGTGAAAGTGTACTAAAATTTTTAAATTTTATAATAGAAATAAAAGATTTTATACTGTGTTTACACAAGATTATGCAAACCGAAGAGACCTTTGGGAGAACTTGAGAGCAGATCAATGCAAACCCGAGACCAAAGGTTGAGAGTTGCACCTGCTCAAGAGATCTCACAAACTCCTCCGAGGTTTGTATAAGCCAGTGTCTTATACAAAAGAATATTTTATCAGTGAATGTTTGCAGTGTAATATATATTTCCACAATTCCGTAGCAGCACTTTTGAAATGATAAATTTAACGTAAGCGACAACTTTTTTTAAATTTTTTATTGCATACTTGTTTCGGCAAACTTATTCCATCTTCAGTGCAGTATAATGAATGAAATATTTACATAGAGTTAATTAATAAATGCATTATTGTAAATAGCTTTCGCTTTCATCTCTTTCGTCTATACACATGTCATGTATCATATTTTTTTATATATTAACTCTATGTCATATATCTGTTGGGAAACTAGTTGCGTAAGAGATTTGCAAATATATTTGACGGTTGGACATACAGCAGTTCATATTACGTTTGCATAATATGTTCAGCCGTACATGAACAGAAACAGTCATTCATTTCAAGAAATCTACTGCACGCAAGGCACATTTCAACAGGCAATTGCTGTTGTCCCAAAAACGAATCGAAGATCAGTCGGTGCATTTTGACTATCATTTTATGCTCACTGTTGTCTGCGCAAGATGGAATAAACATTACATAGCCCAGTATGAACGATGCAACGTAAGCCATAGCACAAAGAGCTTTTAATTTTTGCCTACTTATTGGAAGCTTTAAAGGATACACAGTGACATGATAACATAGAATTGCGATTATCAACATTATTAGATCTCCTGCTTTCGCAAGCAAGTATCCTGTTTTCACAAAAATGATCCGTTTGAATTCCGCTGCAGCTTAGCGGGTATTTACACATAACGTTTCTTAATGTCAAAATTCGTTAATGTTTTGTGAATGATGGCGCCATTCTTATTTGTATATTGCTAGATGTTTATATCGCTAGCCATAGATTGTAAGAAACAATAATAAGCCCTTAATAACCAAGCTCGAGGTCTTTACGGAGAAATAACGGACCGAGGTATTTTTGTACAGACCGAACCCGTAGGGCGAGGTTTGTACAAAAAGACAAAGGTCCGATATTTCTCAGTAAAGACCGAGAAAGCGAGGTTATTAAAAAGTTTATTATATGCCATTATTTGACCTGAAACGAAGCTTGTTTTCTTTCTCGTCCCTGCTGTTTTGTACGGGTTGGCTTTCACTTTTCTAGTTCTTGTCAGTAAAATTTAAATCGTTTCAAATCGTATCGTTTGGAAAGTTGAACTGTTTTCCAAGTTTTTTTCCTTCGAATCACATTCGTAAATGGTACTTTGTTTCGTTTATTTTGCGCTTTGCTGTTTGCATTACGATGTTTGTTTACGTTTGATAGCGGAATTACGCGTTTTGGACCGTGGTCGATTACGGGAAAATAATGGACCGGCAAAAATGTTTCTGAGTCAATCAAAGCGAGCCATTTTCCGAGAAGTGACGCTTGCCAAATAATAATTTGTAACAATTACAACGGAGTCAGTCATTAAAAGCTTTCCAAAACATAAAAAGATCACCATTTTTAATTATGCATCACAACACGGGACAACTTAAAGAGAACTGGTATCTAAAGTGTAGCGAAATATTAACGGTTTGCTATTTACACAACAATGCGTAGCGCTCCGTTTTTTGTTCGACCACGTTAAGACTACGTTTACACTACGCCGGAGCGAGAAAGTGACGGCAGAATTTGGCTAAGTTAACACTGATCCGTTTAAATTCCGCTACAGTTTTGAGGGTGTTTACACTAACTGTCTCTCGCTGTCAAAATTCGTTAGTTGTTTGTGAAAGAAAGTACCATTTCTTATTTGTATATTCCTAAGTGTTTATATCTCTAGCCATAGGTAATCAAAAACAATTATTTGTAATAATTACAACGAAACCACTAATTAAAAACATTAAATGTTTACCATTTTCAATTATGCGCTACCACACTTGACGAATTAGCTAAAGAGAACTGGTATCTAAAGTGAAGCGAAATATTATCGTTTAGCTGTTTACACTACAATTTGCAGCGATCCGTTTTCGTTTGACCACGTTTAGAAAGTGTGGTTGTATCGCTTCGGGAAAGTGACGTTTCCAAACAATTCCGCTCCAGTGTAGTATAAACGAAACCCGGTTCTGTTACTTTTTAGCTTCGTTTTCAGACCGATCCGGAGTAGTGTAAACGAAATCGAAAACATAGTTCAGCAGTAAAAATACATTGTTAATATGAATAAACTAACGTCTCAGCTTATGACTTTATAATGAAGTCAAATAAAAACCAACTATTCTAAATATTTATATGAGTAGAGTTGAAAAATTAATTTAATTCTTTTAATTGCTTTTCAATTTTGTTTAGTGAACTAACGAGATTGGTTATTTATGGCAGGTTAACGTTATTTAAGGCTGGCTTGGGGCTTATAGGAAACTAGCTATTTTCATTTGAAAAAATTTGTTTCATCAACAGATCAATGCGAAAAGTTTAGAATGTCCCATACCTGTGATCGATGAAAACGTGTATACTGAACCACTTACAGAACATGATACGAGTTCGTTATTAATAAATAACAAACAATAGTTAAATTGCTGCTGTAATCTAACCTTCCACTTTTGACACTTAATAATTTAGTTTATCCATAAAGAAGTCGTTGCTATGAACACGAATCTGAAAACAAATTTTAATTTAAATTTTTCATGGCGATGTTCCAGCTCTCCAATGTTGCCACTTTTTGCACTTCTAGGGGGAGTTTTTTAAATGGATTTTGGATGACTTTGACCATTGAGTTCTATTAAATTGCCTCGAGTGGAAAAAGTGGCCTGGAACCGGTTATAAAAAAACATGTCGGCGAATAGGAAATTTTGAATGAAAATTTTCTACTTTGAAAATTTTTTCGCCATTCACTGCCTCCTGATTTCTAACAAACTTATCAAATTCTATCAGTGTTAAAAACTCAAGAACTATTATGCTTTCAATGCAAAGATATTCTTTAGCGTTTTATAAAATACACACGCAATTATACGAAGAAAATCTACGGTAAAGGAACTTCAACTATACTGAAATAACAATTTAGATTAAAAATAACAATAGACAGTGGGACCGTAAAATTGAAATATCTTAAAGTTTATATACAAACTTTGCTCTCTGTATATCAGTATATGTATTCGTAAAGCGCTTGATAAAAATATATTTATTGATGAGATCTACAAGTGTTGGAAAGTATGCACAGAAAGACACGAGAAAAACCCCAACGTCTAGTTAAATCTTTATTCCTGAATCTTGACAACAGTCAACAAATTTTAAGTATGGCCTATACATCTCGATAAATTTTGGATAAAATTGTATCTTACTGGCTTATGTCTATTCAGATATCCTGGCAGCTCTACAAAGTATATGTAAAGAAAATATCTTGAATTTGGTGAGTCACAAAAAGAACAGAATTCAACTTAAATCATGATATAATGCTGTTTTCAGTTGGAAACGTTTTGACCAAGGTATTACAATAGGATAGTAAACTATTCAGTACATTTCTTGAACAGCTGCAGAGTGGAATTACATAAATCGAAATTATTCTTTATTGAAATTATCATCGCTCATAAACCGAAATAACACTCTTCACTTTCAAGAAAATCCATACAGTGGTTTCTTCTAAAAAATTTCACCCGTTCCTTTTAATGGGAGCAGCAAGCATAATAATCGCTTTCTTTTTTTGACAGTTCCTCCAAAAAAGGAGTAGTTTTTTGTCCAACAATCCATAGATAAAGGGGTTAACTGCATGTGTTGTGAAAACTCTAAGCAATAAAGCAATGTCGAAAAAAGCTGAGGATAAATAATCGCTTTTCATGTCGACAAAGAAAGCCATAGCGCCTGGGATACTTCCAATTGTGTTGAAGATGACTGTAATGATACAAACAAAGAATATTTTACGATTTCGACGATATCTTTGCTTGGTGAACGAAGAGGTGGCTACATTCTGATTTTCTGAAGTTAAGAAATTGTTTTTCTTGATAAAAAGTACTCGACCAATTTTGTAATAAATAACTGCATAGGCAGAAGTGGTAAGAATGCTAGCAAAGATGAATACAAAACGGTGTATTTTAACCAGCGCACCATGCTCACCGTTGTCCACACATATTGGAATATATATTGCGTACCCTAGTATAAACGATACAATGTAAACCATAGCACAAAAAACTTTCAATTTTCGTTTGCTTACAGGAATCTTCAAAGGATATGCAGAGGCACGATAACGTAGAATTGCAATTATCAACATCATAAGAGCTCCTGCTAATGCAAACAAGTATCCTGTCTGCAAAAAAAGACAAGATGTTTCATAATACTCTACATTCCTCTCGAAAAGTTTTGTCATTGAGTGCACAAAGAATTCGACCAGCAACATAAGATCACAAATGGCAAGATGTAGAACAACAAAGTAGTAGTTGCTCGTCAACAAACTTCGTCGTCGTAATATTGAGATGATAACAAGAACGTTGCCAATGATACCAAATATGACGATAGGAATCGTAAATTCGACAACAGCTATGTGCCTTTTATATGCCATTTTTAGGTTTACTGTCTGTTGCGTCTTTGAAGAGTATATACGAAAAGCTAGATTGTTTTCTAATTGCTAGCTTTATTGCAGAGTTCACATATTAAAATGCATGCTATAATAGCTTCTAATTAATGAAGTGGAAAAATGAGATGTTTTTAACAAAGCTGCTACATATTATATATTTAGTTTCGTCTTGCAGATACTTAAATTTAAATTCAACTGACGCTATTTCAGTTCATTTCTCTTTAGCCAAAACAAAGTTAAGTGATAAAAACATGCTACTATTAAAAATAAGATAACGTTCCGATATAAATTCACACCATAATCTTGTCAAATCATAAAGCAGGTTAACTAAGACCCTGTTTACATGAGACCGGAACGAAGTCAAACCGGAATGAAAATAAAAATTTGTTGCTTTTTACATAGGACATGAGAAATCTCGAGAAATCTTTATTTGTATTACTCCTCCTTTTCAGGCTAGACTTACACCTGCTGGCCATTTTGTTTTTGCAATTTGGGTGCAAGGTTGTTGCCATTTCAGTCTGGCCTAAGCATTAATTTGAGTTTACATTGATGCCGGTTTCAATTAATACCGTTCTGAACTCAGTGGGATCGGTTCAGATGGCCGTACGACTTCAGACCGCTCTGTATCATTTTCGTAATGGTCCCGTGTAAACATTTACTATAAATAATACTGTAACCGGCACGAGCTGGTACCGTATTGACTTCGTTCCGATCTCACGTAAGCAGGACCTAAGTATTCTAAATATTAAAGCATGCCATAAAAATTCATTAAAATAGCTCACATAATTAAAATACCATTTCTATGATATAAAGAAATTATGTTTGACATCGGTCAATGCACATAGAATTATTAATATTTTTAATAATTTTTTTTTGTTTTTAGGAGGCGGTTTTAAAGCCTTTTAAGGGCCGAGCATTTTATAGATTGACTTTGATATTAGTGTTTCACATTTGTCACTGTGGATAGTAGCGGTTTAATATATATATATTTATTCCTAATTTCAATTTTATAGAGTTAACTTGAGAACAGGTCATTATATTTACGGCAGGTGTTGTGGCTTAAACAGATTAAGAGCAGAAGTTCAGCTTATCCAACACGTTTAATGATAAAAAGCATGTTTATTAAACAACTTACGTAAAATCATTAAGACCTCGTATAAATGCACATTTAAGTACTCTAAAAATAAAAATCCTTGAATTTAACCCCTTCTTTTCTTGGATAAATTTCAAAAAGTGCTTGCACTGATGAAAAATCTAAAAAGAAAATTTAACTTTTTATACAGACTCTACAAACACGCGACGCTAAAGCCCAGTCCTCTCCAGAGTGATTAATCAGCGGATGATTAATCTCACAGCGAGCGAAAGAAATTTATTACAAATTTATTGCTCAAATTAAAAAGAATACGACTCTTTCATACTTTATTCCTGAATCTTAATTTTATAAAGAAAGTGAAATTAAAGATGAACACACAATAATCAACTTATATAATGAAAACAAGACGCCTATTATGCGTTCACACGGACTATTTAAGATGGCACGGTATTGAAGTTCTGTCCGTCGGCCATGTTGGATGTCTTAAGCCTAGTTTATTAAACGAAGGAATGATAAAAAACAGCAGATCCTGAGACTACAGAACAGAAAACTGATTGTATCTGCCGAAAGGAAGAAGAACGCTTAATAGCTCAGTGTGATGGCTACTACCAGTGGTTTCACGGAGTATTCGTTGATGTAAATCAGGAGAAAGCAGATGCAATGGAACAATACATTTGTGGTTTGTGTTTAGGGAAAAATACTTTATAATAGTGTTTAGCTGTTTTTAAGAAATGTTTTCTTGATATATAAATATACAGGCTTTTAATTCTGAGGAGATTAAATAAAATTAGAACTTGTATCATGACTATCTTGCAAACATTTGTTGCCTGATTATACCAAAAATGAATGGTGGGGACATATGGTTGGGCACTTTGCATAGTAATAAAAATCTTAGAGTAGGGAAATAGTGCGGAATTTTTTAAATTTATAATTTCAAAGGCCCACTAAAGCTTCGTGCCCCCAGGGAGGGGAAAGCCGATGACATACGCATAAACGTGGAACTTTACATGAAACGAATGCATGCAAAACAAAAGATAATGGGGAAGCTCATCTCATTTTCTAGGCAAATGAATACTTTTTTAATGTTTTTTTAGGGCACCCATCCAGCATATGCGAACGTTACTGCTTAGTTAATTCAAGAGGATTGCTTGCAAACAGAGAGCAATGAATACATAAACAGTAGAATGACCTCACTGTGCAACTCCATGCTGTATAGTAATTTAATTAGATTTCAGGCTGTGTTTTGCTATTTCAGTAATACTATTGGTAAATTATTCTGACTGCACACCGTAATTGCAGTCGCATGTGCAATAAGATATGCGTACCACATAACAGCTTATTGTAGTGGCCCATTTTTTGTTTCCTATTATGTTATGAAGGTCAACCTACTTAAGAGAATGGAGTTTCCTGTTTGATCAATGAAACAATTGGGACTAACACAATAATTACAACATTTGCATGTCATTTAGGCCTGCTTCAAACGTCGCATTTTAGATGAGCCAAATGCATTTAAAACAAAAGATAATTAGAAATTTCATCTCATTCTTTGTTTTTATGCATTCGGCTCATATAAAGTGCTACGTTTGAAACCTGCGTTAGATAAGAACAAAGTTAACGGGTTAAACAGCTCAATTACGTATAGATAAAGTTCAATAGCATTTTTGTTACATCAATATGGCAAACGAGTACTTTCAATAAGACATTTCATTATGCGTTCTGTATAGCGAAAGTCGATAGTGTGAGTCCGCTATTCTTCACTTGCAATTCAGCCATGTTGGTTGTATGACACAAAAGAATATTTTATCAGTGTTATTGCTGGTTTCCAGCCGACGTGGGCGAGCAACATTGTTTGGTAAATCTCAAGAGGACGGTTTTGCAAGAATTGAACTTTGTCTTTACGTATTTGAACTGTCAAGCCTGTTAATGAACTTTGTTTTTATCTAAATGACATAAAAATGCTGTATTTGCTCTTTACAGTTTTCATTTCTATATATGCTGTTTATCATTACGTAGTTTTTTCAACCAATCATAAACATGTACTAACACAACTGTCATATAAATGGTTCATCCCTTTTTTTATCATCGCTACTTAGCATTTTAAATAACCATGAGCCTATCTTTAAATGGCCTCCGCGAGAAGTGGCATGATCCTCTTAAACCAATCAGAATAGTAGCTTTAATGATGACGTATTCCTGTCAACGTACTTAAAATTGTCCATCTTCATGCTATGAGCTTCTAACGTTACAGAGTAACAGAAGTTATTGTGCTAAAATTTTATCCGTCCGCCAGGGAAATAAGTGCGAAGTACAAGAAGTGATAAATCAGTGGAGAAACCATCTTTAGAAGGAGAAAGTCTTCTCTTTGCACATAAATTCATTTATAATCGAGGTAGGCTTAAATTCATTTAAAAATATCTGACTCTCTGCCAATATATCTTTTCAAATAAATATACTTGTTCAGCATATGTAACTATCAGCTAAGTTGTTTTGATGGTTTCTCGATGGCAACTCTCTGAGCGATGAGAATATAAGATATATTTCATAAGATGCTTTGCAAAATGAGGCATATAAATACAGCTCCATTGATCCATTCAAATGAAATAGCTTCTTTGCTTTGTGTTAGGGAATGTTCATGGTGATAGTGCGAACATGTTAAGTTTTTTGATAGCGTAAGCAAAGAAAATTTTTCAGTCATTGATATGTATTTTGCATGGATCGCGCATCATAAAATGAATTTAAAGCCAGAAAAGACAGTAGGCCGCCATATTGAGCACTCATCATTTTACAAGGATCATGCAATGTATATAAATTGATTCTAAAGTCTTCAGAATAAAGTCTTCTGTCTGAGAATGACTTTGAAATAAAGTCGAAAATTTACAGTTTACTTCTCGTATTGTTTTGATTCATATTTTGCAATCTCAAGATGTCTTGTTTCTTCGGAATTTGTTTTATATTGTACTTGTTAAAGAAACTTTGTTTTTTTATTGTCTATCAGGATCAAGATTAATGGTTCGTACTTATGATTTAGTGCTAGGTTTTTCAACTAGTTTTATCAAAATTAACATTAGGAAATAGCTTGCAAGTGAAAGCCAACTATGACTGATGATTTCAGCAAACAAAGTTGTAAAAATTTTGTGAAAATGTCAAAGTTTGAAACAATATCAAGCTGCTTTATAACTATGGCTGCTCGTGACGTCACGGGATGATTTCATTGCTTATCCAAGCGCTTAAGGCATTATATCTACATGGATTGCTTGCATTTAATTTATCTGAATTCAAAGCATTTCTGCGTGTACGCCAGTATATAGTACAATAGATCATTGGGATCGTCATAGCTCATTGAAAAGAAAGTTCTTGTAAAACTTTTGAATCTTAAAAATGTGCTCAATGTTGGTATAGTTTATTATGTTTTCAATCTGTTTTCAATTTTAGGGTTTTTCACTGGATCCGCTGGTTTTCCCTCAGCTTTCATTTCGTTTAGCATAAAAAGCGGTGTCCATATTTAAAGCTAAGCGATGTGTTGATGGTATTGTTCCTTCAAAGTGAAGAAAGTTCAAGAAACATTGATATCTCAGTTGGTCTTCGGTTTAACACCCGAACACTGTCAATGGAAAATACCAAAACACCTTAAACATCGAGAATAACAAATCAATTTCATTTTTTCCCAATAATCTTCATTGCATCAATTACGACAAGACTTGCTTCATGGCAATTCTATGATTTACTTATTTCGACGTGTTTGCTGTCGATTAAATCACAATTAATTAGCAATCTGATCGATAGTATTATTGCATGCACATCGAAAGGTTCTACTCTACTGAACGTTGCCTCGGTCTTTTCCAATAGAACTGAAAATGGTTTATATTCGTCATATTAGCATTGATGATTGTGTTTTATGATCCTCAGTTGAATCTGTGGTGAGCATAATGAAAGATAAATGTATTTTAATTCACTGAGATTACAGAATCATCATAATCAAATGCATTTATAGTTGGATATTCTTTCCTTTGGAGGTAGTGGTGTTTGTTGAAAAACAGACAAATGGCTATGTTTACGTTATGCTGGCAAGCTGATTTAGTCGAGTGCTTTAAAAATCCACTTTTAAGGACCAATCTGCCTCCCAGCCGAGCGTAATCAGTGCAAATCATCTGCATGTTGTACGACAAAAGAAGTCCTTTACATGTTACCACGATTTCAATGACCATCGATATAAGTTCACTGGTGCAGAAAATTTTACCAGCTACGTGTATGTTACACATATTATTACTAGAACAAAAGCTCTTTTGCTTTCTAGAATTTGATGATGAATGACACTGATGACGAACGATTGAACTAAAAATACAATGGCAGTTGGAATGTTACCAGTTGCGTAAAGTATATTTTTTGATTTCGACAATATCTAAATTACTTACAGGGTCACGAATTTTCAAAAGATTTTTTTTTTCAGAACTATTGGGAACTCGAGACAAAGTGAATTTAGTAAATCCCCGCTTCCAAGTTCCTTTAAAAACGTTTATGTTTAATAACAGAATATGAAATATACAGAATAGTCACTCGCGTCGGAATTTTTTGTGTTTATGTACTCGCACATTGGCTGCCATTATTCCAGGAAGATTTTTAGTGCTTTTTACTTATTCCCAACCACTAAATGACACGACATCATTTCTTGTATTGAAATATTTTCGATTTCATTACAAAGAAATGACGTCAGGTTATTGCAGTGGGTGGAAAGAAGTGAAAAACCTTTAGTATCTTGCTGGAATAATGGCGGCCGCGAGGACGTGGTGCACACTGGAGTGACTTTCTGTATAGTTATAATTCTGTGGTTTGCCCTTTAGTTACTTTTTATTAATGTATGCCTAGTTAGCTGCAGTCTTTTATCAAGCGAAGCAACATTCTTTGCTTTAGTAGCATCCAGCATAACATTTGTCTCCTTTTTTCGCCAATTTCTCCAAAACATCACAATCTTTTTGTCCAGCAATCCATAGATAAGAGGGTTAACCACGTGCGTAGTGAAAATTCTAAACAGTAGAGCAACTTCGTAAAATACAGACGATGAATAATAATTGTTTGCTTCTACAAAGAATGCGATGGAGACAGGAATGTGTCCAATTGCGTAGAAGATGACTGTGGTGATGCAAACAAAAAATAATTTACGATTTCGACGATGTCTTTGTTTGCTGAATGAAGATGTGACTTCATTCTGATAATGTGAAATTGAGAAATTGTTTTGTTGGTTGAAAAGTACTCTTGCGATTTTAAAATAAATTACTATCATTGCTGCAGTGGTGAGAAAGGAGCCTAACATAATTATATAATGTTGAATTTTAACGATCACAAAATGGTCATCGTTTTCCACACAATTTGGAACAAACAATACGTAACACAATATAAACGATGCAATATAAACCGTAGCACAAATGATTTTCAATTTTCTTTTACTGACTGGAGGCTTAAAAGGATATGCTGTTGCACGATAACGTAGAATTGTAATAGTCAACATCATAAAAGATCCAGCAACGGCGAAATAGTATCCTGTTTTAGCAAAAAGACAAAATGTTTCATCATACGCAAAGTCTCTCTTAAAAAGCTTCGTCGTGAGGTTCACAAAATATACAACCAGCCAAAGATTATCACAAATTGCAAGATGTAGAACAGCAAAGTAGTAGTTGCTTGTCAACAAACTACGTTGTCGTAATATAGATGTGATAACAAAAGAGTTGCCAATAATACCAAATATGGCAATTGGAAAAGTAAGTTTAACAATCGTTGGATGTATTTCATACGCCATGCTGAACGTTTCACTGTCAGTTGCTGACTGTAGTATGAATTAGTGAACTAGTTTTTAGTCGTTGAATGAAGAGAGGCACCCATACAACAAAAACGTTAATTATAGTGTAAACGAGAAAGCTACTGGTGGGCTATTAAAGGACACATGCAAGCTAGAATACAACTTTATTTTATTGTAAAGCCTATAGCGTGAAAATAAGACGTACCAAGTTTCAAAGTCGTCCACGAAATATTTAAAAAGATATTTAGGGTTATAATTGGTAAAAACACGATATTCGATCACCATTGCTAAAACGCCGTGAGATTGTTTAGGTCTGGGAACTGGGAAAGAGTGACGTAATAGTTGACATAAACAAGCATCGTTCTTATATCGTTCTACGACTTGCACGGCTTTCGGTAGTTTGCTATTACTGTTTTTTATTTAACAAAAATTAATGGATTCTTCTGAAGAAGAAGCCGATTATGATATTGTCGTCAATAACAATGAGGTACAACTTTACATGTTTGAGCCTTTGGCCAACGCGCAAGGTGGTCATAGTAATGAC